CAAATATTTCTTTTTTTTTTTAAAAATTTTTTTATTTATTTATTTTTCCCCCAAAGCCCCAGTAGATAGTTGTGTGTCATAGCTGCACATCCTTCTAGTTGCTGTATGTGGGACGCGGCCTCAGCATGGCCAGAGAAGCAGCGCGTCGGTGCGAGCCCGGGATCCGAACCCGGGTCGCCAGCAGGGGAGCGCGCTCACTTAACCACCAAGCCACGGGGCCGGCCCCAAACAAATATTTCTGATTATCTTATATACTTATCAAATATAGCTATTCATCTTTGACCTTGCTATCTTCTCTTTAACGGTTCATCAGGTTAGACATCTTTAAAGCTACTGATATGAGAAAATTAAATCAATCACAGATTCACAGGTGCATCTTAGAAAGAACAAATTACACCTGAGCTAGCAGAAAAAAAATTATGTGTATATGTATCTGTACGTGAGTGAGAAATGAGTGAATGAAGGCAGGAAGAGATTGTTTTTCTGTCAAATTTCTTATGAATGAAAAAGCAAGTTAAAAAAAGGTATGTGAGTTGGTGGTCAAAATATTGATGGCCACATCCAAAGAGAAATGGACAAGGACATGGACTATCGTTGCACACACTAAATGGAAAACTGTGCTTTTGTGTAGCAGTAAATTCTATTTATAAATAGCAAGGGCACCACGCTTTTACTTAATACTCTTGTGGACAAAAGCTAAAGGGAATAAATCTTCCACATACTGGTCCAGGATCAAATTCAAATTATACTTTGTATTTCCGACTCAGAATTTTAGCTACCTAAGAGCTGTTTTATAATCTAAGTGAAAGATAATTTAAGGTCAGTTTTCCTGTCTGTGTGTGCTTGTGTGTAGGTGTTTTCAGCTGCGAGTGTACTCAACAGTACGCTTGCTTAGTGTAGAAGTGGTATCATGCAAACCTATGGAATTCGACTTACACAATAAAGCAACATAACAAAAATCCAATCCAGCTTTCTAGATAAATAGTGAAGTCACAGGGCCACAAGCCGATGTTGCCAATATATACGACATTGATTTATAAAAGAAAGGGGATTAATTGCTTCAATGACACTGAGTCTAATGATAGCTTCGAAGAAAAATGGTGGCAACATTGTGTCCTTATAGTGTAATCACTCCTGGTCAGTCAGCCCTAATTCATATTGAATGGAGTCACTGAAGCCATTTATTAGGTTTTTATACTGCTTGTATGGGGCAAAGAACAGTTTTATTAAAACCGTAATAAATGGCAAAGATTTACATAAAGTTCTATGAAATAAAAATGTGAGGGAAACACAAATGTGAAATCACAATTAAAAAATAAAACTTGTAACTGTTTGTAATTTAAAAAATTTTAAACTTTAAAAGGAAGTGGAAGAAAAGGCTGCTTCACAGCTAAAAACATTAATGATAAAATAGTTGCCCATCCTCACCACATAGTTATTGACTTCTGGTCAGAGAAGACTTGTTCAGTTTTAACAATGGAAATTCAATGGCCAATAATAATAATTTTAATAATAATAATAGTTTAATAATAGTAATAGCAGTAATAATAGAAATATGAACAATGGTAAGAACTAAAATGTATCAAGTGCTTCCTATGTTCTATCCACTGTGTCTTTTAATTTTTCCACCAAACCATGTGAAGTAGATACTATTACACCATTTTAAGGAACAGTTTTAGTGGTAAACCACAGGCAATGTCTACTCTTGAAGAATTGGCCGTGTGTGTCTAGATGGACAGGAACAGGTTCTAGAAAGAGTAGGTAAGCAGCTTGAAAGATTTTGCCATGGTGTCCTCCCTTCCTTGAATCATAAACCAAAGATAATTCAGAGGTAAATTATTCAAACCATTAGCTTTTTAAGAACACTTTGTAGTTAAATTGATAAGACCTTTCATTATGTCTCTCAATATTTTTCAAAGTACTTTTGCTGCATTGCATGTGTATTTTTCATCTAAAATCCTTGAGGTAGATGAGTATTGCTATCATTACATGGAAGCAAATGTTGCTAGATGATCAAGAGCTGTGGTGTCAGACTGCCTGGGTGTGTGTCCTGACATGTTCACTTATTAGTTATGTTAATTCAAACAAGTTATTTAACCTCTCTGTAACTCAATTTTCTCATAATAATAATAAGAGTAACTACATCATGAGTTACACTGATATGAAGGTTAAGTGGAGTAATATGAGTAAGGCATTTAGAACATAGTAAAAGCTCAATGCATGTTAGCCCTCACTAAATCTGTTTCACCAGTGAATAACTTGAGGCACAGAGTCCAATAGCCTAGAGTCAAACTAAGAATTCATAACCGTGACTTTCAGTTCAGCATCGTGTCTCCTCCACATCCCCTCTGTCAGTTGTTCCCAAACTTGACTTTTGGATTCCGAGGCAAGCCAAAGAATTATTCCAAGGGCTCTTTAAGTTCATATAAAATAATAGTAACAGCAGCTAACATTTATTGAGCATGTACTGTGTGTTCAGCACTGTGCTAAGTCTCTTGCATAGATTATCTCATTTAATTCTCAAAATCTTATTAGATAGACATTATTACTTCATACATTTACAGATGAGGAAGGCAAGGCTAAAAATATTTAAGTGGTCAAGTAACTGCCCAAGGACACATAACTAGTAAGTTCCTGAGCCAGGAATCAAATTCAGGTAATGTGGCTTTGAAACTCAAGTCTTAACCACTCGCTTTCACCTATTGACTAAATAAGTAAATGGACAGCATCTCACCATTAGAGTTTGTCACAAACGGTGGACACACTACACTGCCATCCACTATCCCATCATCAAAGAACCCCAAACGCAATGTGTTTCTGTAAGCATACATTCCCACTTGATTATACCATGCATAACTTAAGATCCCACATTCTACAGTTGCTTTTGGAGCATTTAAGATAAACTAACACAATATACTAAAGAGTAGATTCATTAAATGGAATTATTCTCTTTCATATCTACAATTAGAATGCCTTCCCTCATTTAGAGTGTGAAAATACCATTCTTTGATTTTAATGGTTTTTTGGGCAGGCATGTATATTTCCGAATTTCATTAAGTACAATTTATGCTCCTTCACTTTGCCTTTAGGTTGTCATTCAAGAAATAATATACAAACTTTAATGTCTATTTAAATGCAAAATATGTTAGACTGGCTGATATCCAAGATCCTGATACTAAGATTTTATGCTTCATTTAAAACATTTACACGTTTTTTTTCCCCCAAAGCCCTAATAGATAGTTGTACATCATAGTTGCACGTCCTTCTAGTTGCTGTATGTGGAACGCGGCCTCAGCATGGCCGGAGAAGCAGTGCACGCCGGGGATCCGAACCCTGGCCGCCAGTAGTGGAGCGCACGCACTTAACCACTAAGCCACGGGCTGGCCCTACACGGTTTTTAAAGCAGAAAATATATTCAGAAATTTTAAAGGTACCAAAGAATATTAATAAGAATCTTCCCTGTATTCCTTTCTTCTAGTCACACAATTCACTTTCCCACAGGCAACCGTGGGTTAGGTTCTTGTTTATCTTTCCAGATATATTTACATACATAAAATAAATACACTTATACTTTTATATACATATATCTCCCCCTCCTCATTTTTGTACCATATGCCTTGTATCGTAGCACCAAATTGTTTTCCAAAGAATTTATTCCAATTCAAAGTCATTACTAAATTATGAAAGTGTCTATTTTAGTTTTTCCATTGATGCTGAGGGAAATGTCAGCATTTACGTTTCATGCTTAAATAAGGTTACATATTGCACCTTCTGAAGATGTTGGCAGGCTGCTCCACACCAAAGTTAAACAATATAACCCTTAATTTAAAAGAAGAAAACAATGTCCGTAACACTAGTGACGAGAATAAAGCTTTTTAACAGTTGTCTAAGATCTGAAACAATAAATATCTACCCAAAAGTTCAATGTAGGTCTTAGAAGGTAAGTTTTTTTTTTTTTTTTAATTTTTTGTTTATTGCAGTAACATTGGTTTATAACATTGTATAAATTTCAGGTGTACATCATTATACTTCTATTTCTGCATAGATTACATCATGTTCACCACCAAAATACTAATTACAACCCATCACCACACACATGTGTCGAATTATCCCTTTCGCCCTCCTCCCTCCTCCCTTCCCCTCTGGTAATCACCAATCCAATCTCTGTCTCTATGTGTTTGTTTATTGTTGTTATTATCTACTACTTAATGAAGGAAATCATACGGTATTTGACCTTCTCCTTATTTCACTTATTTCACTTTGCATAACACCCTCAATGTCCACCCATGTTGTCACAAATGGCTGGATTTCATCGTTTCTTATGGCTGAATAGACCAGTCACCAGTAAGGAGATCAAAACAGTAATCAAAAACTTCCCCAAAAATAAAAGTCCAGGACCAGATGGCTTCCCTGGTGAATTCTACCAAACATTCAAAGAAGACTTAATACCTATCCTTCTCAAACTCTTCCAAAAAATTGAGAAGGTAAGTTTTAATCATCACAGAAGATCACATTATAACATATGTTCTTCCATTGTAGAGAAATCTCAATGATGTTAATGATTTTATTTCCATACAATTATTACCTCTTATAGGATTGACAAGATATCTTAATCACAATTTTCACTTTAACAGTATAAAAAGAAAAATCTCAAATGGCAGAGTCTCTGCCAAGAACTTTTTGTAAAATCACTTGTACCACTTGTTGAGAACCAAGTATGTGGCTTAATTTCTTTACAAACATCATGCAACATAATTTGTCCAACAATTCTATGAGGTTAGTGCTATCAATCCAAATTTAGAGACCAGAAAACTGAGGCTCAACAATATTAACCAGCTCAAGGGGACACAGCTAATATGTTTTGGTATATAAATGAATAGGTAAAAAATTCCCACAAGTACCAGTCACAAAATAAATAGACAAAAACAAAGTTGAATGAATGAGTTAAATGCACAATAGATGTATAATCCTGCTATAGCCTCCTAAAGCAAGAATCTTACCTCAAAAGCAAATGACAAGGAAGGGATGAAGGGCTTCAGATGACCAAATCTACACAGCATTAGGAACACCAAGCAACGGAAAGTTTCCATAACAGCTGCCTTAGGTCTGAAATAAATATCATTAACATGCATTAGCTTTAAATATGCTCTTCATGTGTTTATATGTTATAATTAATATAGTGATACACATTTCTTTTAATTTTCAAGAAATACAAAGTATTTTAATATATTTAAGGAGCTTGTGCCTCTGAAGTTGTTTGAAAACAGACACTAAACTAAGAAATAAAATGCATCTTTTTAAGAAAATCTGTTCTTGATCAATTTATTGCTTAGCTCGAGCATTGATGAGTCAGTGTGAAGCATACTTTCAACTAATATGTAAAATATTAGACCACTAAATTTCTAAGATTTAAAGTAAATGAGACTCCCCTCACTTACCCAATACCCTTATACTTCATTTGTTTAAAAAATGACTTGTTCGGAGGACCATATTAGTTAAATATACTAAATATACTAAATATACACTAAAATAATGAACAGTCAATTTCTGAAATACTGGAAACATGAAAAATGTGTAGTTATGTCTAAAATGATAACAAAGGTTAACTATTTTGTGATGAATATTTTCTGTACATATAGTATCCTTGAAATTCAAACGCTATATAAATGAAATAAGTGTGTTTATGTATTTGAAACAGAGTTGAATGTCACACACAGATAAGCATTTATAAGTTGCCTTATAATGACAGTAATGAACAGCTACTTTGTCAGCTAAAATAAGCTTCATATGATATTCATCTAAGATTTGTTGGAGAATTAAATATTTTTGTAAAAGATAATATTGTTAGGACAAGTGAATTTCCTAACTAAAATATTTTTGAATTAATGTCATTATATTATAGCTATATATTATTTATTTAATTTAGAATGTAGAAGTATAGAGAAAAAAGTGAAAAAAATCTAAAGTACTATATTCATTGAACTTAGAAATTTCTTCTGAAGTCTGTTGATTATGACCCATTGTTTCTGTAAAACTGGCTACAGCAACATTTTTGTACGAAAAAGAGAACACATTTTTTCCCAAGTAATTTAAACTCAATTTAAAACAAAGTAATAGTTTACGATTTATTTGCATTCTAGTAATAGGATTAATTTTTTGTGAAAAAAATATTAAGAAATTTTTCGCCTTGTAAAATAATGTTATATCATTACTATAAACTAACTTTTTTAACAAAAAAATGATATCTGGGTAATTTTCAATGAAAAAACTGAAAATAAGATTTCTATTTTAAAACATTTAGTTCTTATTAATTCTGTTCTATAGTTTACTTTTTAACCTTTTGTATTGTGAGATGAAACATATATAGGGAGAAGTAGACAAAATAGAAATCTGCAGCTTGATGATTTTCAACAAATAAGCAATCGTGTCACCACCACTCATTATCAGCACCCCCACAGACATCTGACCTCTACAATACTTCCACTCGCCCTCTGTCTCCGAGACAGACTACCTTGACTTTTACAGTGATCATACTCTTTCTTGCTCTTTTTTAATTCACATTTTTACCACTTTAGCTTAGGCTTCTAATAATTATTCTTTAGTTTTATTTTTTTTTCCTTGTTATAAATGGCATTATATCATGTGCACTTTTTTGTATCTAGCATCTTTCTTTCAATGTTGTTAGTGAGATTGCTGTTATGGTGCTGCATGCAGCAGTAGCTCATTCTTGCGCTCCTGCGTGGTATTCCATTGTGTGAATACACCACTATCCACGCATCAATCCACCTCGTGAAGGACATCTAGATTGTTGGTAGCACTCATTTATTTGAACAATGCTTTCTGAGCATTCTTTTACATGCCTTTGAGTGTATTGGTGAGTATATGCTTGAAATTGAACTGCTGGGTTATAGGTGTATATATGTTCAAATTTAGTAAAATTCCCAAACAGTTTTTCAAATTAGGTATCACAATATAAACCCCCCTCTTCAGTATGTGAGTGTTCCAACAGTTGGCATTTTCAATCTTCTTAACTTTAGCCATTTGGGATATAAAGTCTTTGCTACTTATAAAATTTGCAAATAGCTTTTCCTACTTGAGGTTTTATTTTTCATTGTGTCAATGAGAGTTAATTTTTGAAGAACTGACTTTCTTAATGCCATTATTGTCTAATTCATCAATTTTGTCTTTATGATTAGGGATTTTTCCGTCCCATTTAATATTTTTACCTGCTCCAAGATTACAGAGATATGTTACTATGCTATCTGCTGGAATCTGTATTGGTTTTCCTCTCACGTTCAAATCCCTGACCCCAGAATTAAATTTTATGGTGTGAAATATTTGTCAAGTTTATTTTTCTTATTCCTATGTGGAAATGCAATTTTTCCAAGACCATTTATTGAAAACGCAGCCTTTTCCCACAGGTCTGCGGGCACACCTTTGTCACAAATCAAGTCTCTATACATGCATAGATCTGTTTCTAGGTTCTCTTTTCTAGTCTTTGTGCCAATAAAACATGTGTAATTACTGTGGCTTTATAATAAATCTTGACAGCCAGTAGTGCAACTCCTGCCATGTTTTTTTTAAACCTCAAGACTGTGTTGGCTATTATTGGTCCTTTGCATTTCCATATTTTAGCAAGAGCCTATCAAATTCCATGAAGAAACCTTTTGCAATTTTAATTCAGATTGCTTTGAATATGTAAATAAATCTGGTGAGAATCGCAATTTTTAAAATATTGAGCATTCCAATATATGAATACAGTTATCTCTCTACTTATTTAGTTCTTTATTTATTTTTCACAATATTTCAATAGTTTTGTAGTGTTTTTTAGAGATTTTGTACTCATTTTTCTAGGAGTGTTTTTTCTCGGTATTTGATATATTTGATGCTATTGCATAGTTTTTTATTTGCTAGTATATAAAATGTAGCTGATGACATTTCTTTAAAAATTTTCCTAAATTCGTCTATTTATTTGAGTAATTTCCCTATAGATTCTTTGAATTTTCTATCTAATCCACTAGTTATACTTATTAGATTAATTAATGTAAATTAATTGTATAATTAATTTATTAATTTATTTCAAATCCCTATGCCTTTTTTTTTCTTTCTCTATCCTTCCTCTACTATTTCTAGCACAATGCTAAATAATAAACATGTCTAATGTGGCTCAATTTCAAGCGAAATTTTCAACATTTCACTATCAAACATAAAACTTGCTGTAGAAGTTTATATAAATAGTTTTTATTTCACCTTCATTTTTGCTGGATATATGTTGGCAGATATTTTTTTCAGCACTTTAAAAACATCACTCCATTCTCTTCTGGCTTCCATTGCACTGGTTTGCAATGGCATACCTATGTTTCAGTATGAGTTCTTTTTTTATTTTTTAACACCATTTGATTCACCTTTTCTTTTAAATTGAAGTCACATTGGTTTATAACACTATATAGATTTCAAGATGTACATCATTGTATTTCAACTTCTGTATAGACTGTATTATGTTCACCACCAAAAGTCTAGTTTCCATTCATCACCGTACATATGACCTCCTTTACCCCTTTCAACCTCCCACCACCTCTTTCCCTCTGGTGACCACCAATCTGTTCTCTGTATCTATGTGTTTGTTTGTTTGTTTATCTTCCACATATGACTGAAGTCATATGGTAATTGTCTTGCTCCATCTGACTTATTTCCCCTTAGCATAATACCCTCAATGTCCATCCATGTCGTCGCAAATGGCAAGATTTCGTCTTTTTTTATGGCTAAGTCATATTCCATTGTATACATATACGTATGTGTATATATATATGTGTATACACACATATATATACACACACATACCACATCTTCTTTATCCATTCATCCATTGATGTGCACTGAGGTTGCTTCCAAGTCTTGGCTATTGTGAATAATGCTGCAATGAACATACGGGTACATATGTCTTTTCAAATTAGTGCTTTCATGTGCTTTGGATAAATACCAAAGGTGGAATAGCTGAATCATATGGTATTTCTATTTTTAATTTTTTGAGAAATCCCCATAGTCTTTTCCATAGTGGCTGCACCAGTTTGCATTTCTACCAGCAGTGTATGAGGGTTCCCTTTTCTCCACATCCTCTTCAACACTTGTTATTTCTTGTCCTTTTAATAATAACCATTCTGACGGGTGTGAGGTGATTTCTCATTGTAGTTTTGATTTGCATTTCCCTAATAATTAGTGATATTGAGCATCTTTTCATGTGCCTGTTGGACATCTGTATATCTTCTTTGGAAAAATGTCTGTTCAGATCCTTTGCCCATTTTTTAATTGGGTTGTTTGGGGTTTTTTTGTTGTTGAGTTGTACAAGTTCTTCATACATTTTGGATATTAATCCCTTTTCAGATATATGATATGCAAATATCTTCTCCCAATTGGTAGGTTGTCTTTTCGTTTTGTTGATGATTTCCTTTGCCCTGCAGAAGATTTTTAGTTTAATGTAGTCCCATTTGTTTATTTTTTCTTTTGTTTCCTTTGCCTGAGGAGACATGATATTCAAAAAGATACTGCTAAGACCAATGTCAAAGAGTGTACTGCCTATGTTTTCTTCTAGAAGTTTTATGGTTTCAGGTCTTACATCCAAGTCTTCAGTCCATTTTAAGTTAATTTTTGTCTGTGGTGTAAGATAATGGTCTACTTTCATTCTTTTGTGTGTGGCTGTCCAGTTTTCCAAACAAGATTTGTTGAAGAGGATTTCCTTTCTTCATTGTATGTTCTGGACTCCTGTGTCGAAAATTAGCTGTCAATAGATATGTGGGTTTATTTCTGGGCTCTTAGTTCTGTTCCACTGATCTGTGTGTCTGTTTTTCTGCCAGTACCATACTGTTTTGATTACTACAGCTTTGTAGTATATTTTGAAACCAGGGAGTGTGATACCTCCAACTTTGGTCTTTTTTCTCAGGATTGCTTTGGCTATTCAGGGTCTTTTCTTGCTCCATATAAATTTTAGGATTATTTGTTTTATTTCTGTGAAAAATGTCACTGGGATTCTGATTGGGATTGCATCAAATCTGTAGATAGCTTTAGGATATGGACACTTTAACTATGTTAATTCTTTCAATCCGTGAGCA